CCATGGGAGGCCTTACCTTCTTGTAAGAGGGAAAGGGGGTTGGGTTGGGAGGGGGAGGCTGGGGAGGCAGGAGAAGGGAAGAGGGGGATCTTTGGTATGTAAAATGAATAAATTTTTTTATAAATGTAATATACCGGAAAAAAAAAAAGTCTTCTTAGAGGAAGCCTCAACTGGGAACTGAAAGATGAGGAGGAATTCCAGGGACAGGAAAGAACTTTTTGGAGGCCCTAAAGCAATTCAGAGGACAAGATCAAGTAATACTGAGGGGTCTTGGGGTTTTTGTTGCTGGTCTGCTGTTTGCCTGTTTGTTTTCTGAGACAGAGTCTTGTTATGTAGCCCAGACTGACCTTGAATTAACAACCCTCCTGCCTCTGCTTTCCAAGGACTAAGACCAGGCATTCTCTTGAGAAAGGAGCTAGAGGTATAACTATGGTCGTGTCATGAAAGGGGACACATGAGTCATGCAAAAAGTTCAAGGGATCCTGGGGATCGCTGGGAGCCAGGCTCCTGTTTCAGAAAGAGTGCAAGACACATGAGGGAGATGGACACAGTGTCGGAGTTGAGGAGAAGAGTTAGGAGATGTGCAGATTAGCCAAGACAAGCTTACTTCATGCAGAGACAAGATGGCGGTGACTATGACAGAGGGCGAGGGTCACCGTGGGAGGGGGGATCTCAGAGCTGGAATTTCAGGACTGACTGGTAGAAACGAGGACACAGGAGCATGCCTGGTTCCCGTCGGAACAGATGGGTGGATAGAGAGACCACCACAGAACAGAGAAACCAACAGTTTGAGGATGAAGGCTTTAGTAGACTTATGCAAATGAGCACACTAGCACCAGGCCCCGCCCCCTAGCCATATGGAGTAGGGGCCAGGCACAGATAGTTTTTCAAATCTCCTTGGGTCATCGCCACTGGCGGCCACAATTGAAGCTGCTGCACAAATGACCTGATGACCTTAGTCAATCTTGAGTCGACTTGTTTAGTTGGCCAAATTCCATTCCTAACCCTAAGATCACACCTCAGAAGGGGAAGGGAACATCAGTTGGGACCTTCAGATTGCCTTTGGACTTTTTTTGTTTTGTTTTTTTGGTTTTTTTTGTGTGTGTGTGTTTTGCTTTGTTTTGTTCTGTTTTTTACTGCACTGTTCTTTAGCCTGTTGATTAGGCCAGTGTGCTGGCTAGGCTGCTCTAAGCCCTTTGTGTTCCCCTGATGGCCTTACCTTCAGCTGCTGTCCGGGCAGCCCCCCCTCAGAGCACTGGAGCCGCCAGCAGCCTCCATCTGGGTGGTCAGACTCTCCTTCATTCAGTGAAATCCCTTCTCCAAAATTATAAAAATACAGTCCCCAGGGCCACATAAACCAGGCAGAGTGGTCCAGACTACAATCCTAGCACTCTAAAGGAGGAGACTTGAAGATCAGGAGTTCAAGGTCATCTTTGGCTACACAGTGAGTTCAGAGGCAGCCTCCGTGGGGGAAAAGTATTAACTCAATCCACAATCTACGGAAGCAACACGAAGACTTGCAAAGGTGTGTTTGAATAATCCTATCTTTCCCATCTTATCCCAGGTTATCCCTGAAGGCTGAACTCCCTCTGTGTCCACTGTCTGTCTCCGGGCCAGTATCACCAGGCCGTAGTGTTGGGACATGAAATGCCAGAACTGGACTCAGTCTAGAATCCTCTACCCACTGCTGTTTTTCTTAATTTGTTTAGTTCAAAATGATTTTTAAAGTTGTATGTTGTCTTAATTAGGGTTTCTATTGCTTCGTCAAAGCTCCATGGCCAAAAAGCAAGTTGGGGAGGAAAGGGTTTATTTGGCTTACACTTCATTGGAGGAAGTCAGAGCAGGAACTCAAGCAGAGCTGGAACCTGGAGGCAGGAGCTGATACAGAGGCCCTGGAGGGGAGCTGCTTACTGGCTTGCTCCCTATGGCTTCCTCAGCCTACCTTCTTAGAGAACCCAGGACCACCAGCCCAGGGATGGAACCACCCACAGTGGGCTGGGCCCTCCCCCATTGATCACTAATTGAGAAAATGCCTTACAGATGGATCTCATGGAGGCATTTCCTCAGCTGAGGCTCCTTCCTAACGAGCCTGTACATACATGTCTGTGTGTCTGTGTTTGTGTGCATACCATGAGGGTGTGGGTACCCACAGAGGCCAGAAGAGGTTGTGTGATCTCCTGGAATGAAGCTGGAGTTACAGATAACGAACCATCTGATGTGGGTGCTGGAAACCGAGAGCAATATGCTCTCCTAACCATTAACCCATCTCTCCGGCTCAATGATTTTAAACTTGGAGAAAATTGCAAAGCGTGTACAAAGAACTCTCACACACCCTTTGCTCAAGATTCCTTTTTGCTTTTCTAATTAACCTCTTCACAATTTTTGTAGCATGCTTCTACTCAAAGGAGCCAACATAAAACTACATCACTTGTCATGTGTCTCCAGCCTCCTCCAATTAGAGTTCTTCCTGGATCTCTCCTTAACATTGACATTGACTCTTCATAAGATTGTAGACCAGCCATTTTGAGAAATACCTTCCTATTGGTTTGTGCAATGTTTCCTCCTGATTAGACTCAGGATGGTCCCTTTTGGTCAAAATGTCACAGAAGCAATGCTGTGTTCTGTGTCTCATCAGGCAGCACAGGATGTGGTCTGTCCCCTCACTGGTGGTGTTTGGTCACTTGATCAATATAGCACTTGTGAACTTTCTTCTCTATAAAGTGACTTACTTCACTGTCACAAGCAAACTGACATCTGTATCATCTTAGCGTCTCCCCGTGATCCAATGAGAACCTCCTTAGTTCTTGGTATAAGAGTGTTCTGGGCCGGGCGGTGGTGGCGCACGCCTTTAATCCCAGCACTCGGGAGGCAGAGCCAGGCGGATCTCTGTGAGTTCGAGGCCAGCCTGGGCTACCAAGTGAGTTCCAGGAAAGGCACAAAGCTACACAGAGAAACCCTGTCTCGAAAAACCAAAAAAAAAAAAAAAAAAAAAAAAAAGAGTGTTCTGGGCTTCTCTTACTATGTAGGACTCCACTGATTTTCTCCAAAGAGTTCTGTTAGTGCAGAATGGTCAGAAACAAAGGTGTGGGCTGTTTGTGGGGTTCCTTGCTCTTGGGTCATCTCCGTGTATCAAAGTAGGAAACACACATGTGCACATACACACGTTTATCAATACGCCCATTTCTAGAGACTGGAAACTGTGAGCTCCCAACTGTACGCTCCCTCAGTACACCACCATGGGGGTCCATCCTAGCTCTCTAATTTTGCGTGTTTGTTAAGACAGGATTTCTCTATGGAACTCTGGCTGGCCTGGAACTGGCTATGTAGATCAGTCTGGCCTCAAACTCACAGAGATCTGCCTGCCTCTGTCTCTGAGTGCTAGGGTTAGAGGTGTGGGCCGCTGCAGTGAGGAAACTGATTCCTACCCTCCTTGACATGATTGCTGATCTACTGATCTCCACAGAGCTACTGCTCTACGGGCCTGCTGAAAGTCTTCTCATGAATCTCCCAATCATTCTCTGTATCAGAATGAACCAGGGGCTTTCAGGTGTTCCGTTTATCTTATTTTATTACACTCCCAGGATTTAGGGATGAAACATAGACACTCTCTAACTATGAATCTGCATCCGTGGATTCAGTCAATACCCAGGGGGAAAAAAAACTGCATCTGTATTGATCTCATTCCTTTCTCCTTATTCCCAAGTAACGTAACTACTGAAGCAGCACTTTTATTTATTTCAATATCATAGATATTGAAAGTAATCTGAGGCCAGGAAGACGGCTTAGTGGGTAAAGGTGCTTGTCACCAAGCTTGATGACCTGAGTTGGAACCTGTGAACCCATGTAGTGGACGGAGAGAACCAGCTTTCAAAAGTTTCCTCTGACCAGCATACATGGACTGTGCAGTATGTGTGCTCACACACATACACACACACACACACACACACACACACACACACACACACACACACGAGAGAGAGAGAGAGAGAGAGAGAGAGAGAGAACAAATAAATACATGTAAAAATTTAAGAATTAAGTAACCTAGAGGTGATTTAAAGTATACAGGAATCTGTGCATCGCTTATACGCAAGTATCATGCAATCTTATACAAAATACCCGAGTACCACAGATTTGGGCGTCTGTGGCAGGTAGGACCAGTGCTCCTGGAACTATTCACTGTGAGACAACTGTGTGTGCATTTTAGTTAGTATTTATAGTCACTAAAGAATATTTTCTCACTAAAGAGTATTTTCTTTCTTTCTTCCTTTTTTTTTTTTTTTTTTGTTTTGTTGTTGGTGGGTTGCTTTGTTTGTCTGTATTAAGACAGGGTTTCTCTATGTAGCCCTGCCTGTCCTGGAACTCACTCTGTAGACCAGGCTGGCCTTGAACTCACAGAGATCCACCTGCCTCTGCCTCCCAAGTGCTGGGATTAAAGGTGTGCACCACCACCGCCTGGCAGGAATATTTTCTTCTTGCTCTAAATATTAAAAGTAGACCATCAATAATCCAGGAGTGGTGGTACGCACCTGTGATCACAGCACTGAGACAGGCAGGTTACAGGGCGAAGCCAGCCTGGGACACAGAGAGGCTATGCTGGCTGGTCTGTCAACTTGACACAGCCTAAAACCAGCTGGGAGGAGTCTTAGGGAGGAATTATTTGGCTCAGGTTGGCCTGTGGGTATGTCTGTGGCGGGACTGTCTTGATTGTTACTTGACCCAACCCCCTGTGGGCAGCACCATTCCCTTGGCTGGGCCTGAACTGTGTAAAGTGAAGAAGGCTAGCAGAGCAAGCAAGGATCATGTTTTTATTCTCTGGTCTGGACTGGGGATGTGGTATTTTAAGCACCTGCCTTGATTTCCCTAAAAATAATGGGCCGCAACCTGGGATTGTAAGCCGATAACCCCACAGCCCCTATGTTGCTTTGGGTGAGGACATTTTATTACAGTGACAGAATCGATAACAGAGCCCCTACCTCAGATGTAAGAAATGAGTTCATTAAGTGATCAGCCGCCCAGGAGGGCCGCTTACAAAGAGGTCACTAACTGGAGCCCCTTGCATTTCCGCTTGTACCTGGTTACCGTTTACGGCTTCTGATGACCTTCCCTTTCACGACCTCATTTTTCCCCTAGGACCAGGCGCAAGTGCCGGTGCAGTCCCTGAACAACTCCGCCTTTTCTTTACACGCACAGATTCTACCAATCCACTTTGCTCTTTGTTCGTCTCTCCACATAGTCACTCATCGAGTTGTTCTTGACAACCTACGCACGAGGACTGCCTGTATACATGGGTCCTCCTCTCCTGCCCTTCCCTGGCTCAAGCAGCATCTCTGGTATTCCATGGTCTTGCCTCCATTCCTTGCTTGGCTGGTTTAGATTTGTTAGAGTATGTAAAGGGGAAGCCCGGGTTGAGTGTGGAGGAAGTGGGTCCTTCTGAGCCAGCTAGACCCTGGAGAGTGGAGGGAGGAGGGCTAAGACAGCGGCTTTCTCTTCCCCTTGGCTGTGAGAAGAGCTGGATGTTTAGCAGACTGTCTGTCTCCACTTGGTTTCTGGTGATATTCTACAGAGGTGGGAGGAAGGATAAAGGGAGAATACATTCCACACACACTCCAGATTGCTCGACGAAGCTCTGGATTTCCCTGTTCCGTTCTGCTCCTCCCCTGGGAGAAGGGCCCTGCTGGGGCTCTGAGGCAACCACCCGCTTTGCACTTGGCCCCAGGAGCATGAAGAGGCTGTGGTGTTTGCTCTGTGGATCATCTGTTCTCAGCCCAGGTGGGGGCCCCCCCCCCCCCGTGCAGGGTTGGGCAGGAGAGCAGCTGCACGTCACCTTGGTGGCTGTGATATTATCTGGGGCCTAACGGTTTCTTCTGGGTAGGCACTTCCGCCCTCCTGCCTGTGGAATCCGAAGACTCATGCTGCTCTCTCTGAGTGGAAAGGAGCCCCCAGCTCTAAGAAGGAGAGGAAAGTCACCCTGACCTGGAGGCACACACCTGTCACTCCAGTATCAGGGAGCTGAGGCAGGGGGATCAAAAATTCAAGATCATCAAGACATTCCTTTCTTGCTTCCATCTTTGTTTTAGAACCCTTCTTGCAGCTATGTAGATAAGAATATGGGAACTCTTTCTCTGGGCCCCAGAATGTATGGATCTAAATAGAAGGACTATGGGTTGCTTGTCCGTCTGAACCCTGTGCATGAGACAAGCACTATTAAAAAAGCCGCTCTTTCCAGAGCATCAGCTGCACTGTAAAGATGCAGAAAATGAAGATCAGGTAAGTGGGCTTTTCTAAAGGAGCACAGCCAGAAAGCAGCGGGCTAGAGTCTAACCCCGGTCTGCTTCTGAAAACACAGGTCTTGCCCCCATGCTGAGTTCAATGAACTACAGTCTGCCCTGACATCATGGTTTACAAAGTAAGGTTTAGAAGGCCTGTGACCTCAAAGTCCACAGACCAACCGTGATGAGAAGCAGTCAGGACAGCCTTCTGCAGTGTGGGCGAGTTCTCTGATGGTTTCCGGTAGTGGTAGTGGTTTCTCTTCGGGCTCCTTGCATAGGTGCAGCACCAACGTTCACCTGTCCTGTGGTCCGGCACCGTGTTGGTTCTCTCTCTCCCCTGCGTAGCAGCAGGTCCTGGTTTGGAGGACAAAGTTGAGGGATGCTGTAAGAAGGCGCACAGGCATCCTTGTCAGCCAGTCCCCTGAAGGCATTTCCCTCCGGGAAATGGGATCCAGAAGGGGCACCTAGAGCTATAATCCAGCAGCAGACAATTGCCCTGGCACAGATTCAAAGACGCTACATCCCTCCCACACAGGCTTTTTGCTGTCCCGAGAGCTGTACAAACCGACCTCCCTTGGGGAGAGTTGCTAAGCTGGGCTTATGTGAATCGGATGCTTAGGACCGTGCCCTTTGCTATATTTAATAGGAATGGAGAAAAGGTCCTTTAGCAAGCAGCCTGTGGGAGCAGATATTCCCACAAACCCCAGGCATGCACGCATCAGGGCAGATGTGAAGAGAAGCTTGCTGCTACAGGAAACTTGAAAAATTTGCTTGGGTTCCTCTCTCCCTCCTTCCCTCCCTCCTTTCCTCCGTCCCTCCACCCCTCCTCCACAGAAAGATAACATCGACAACCTGATAACTGTTTCTTGCAATCGGAATCCTGGAGGGTGGACAGTTAAAGAAGTGTCAAAACAAAGGTATTCTTATTAGGCTACTGAATCCAGGAAAGCTAGGTACGAGGCTAAGTAATAAAGAGAAGGATGTGGAGGGGAAGAGGAAGAGGCTGCAAAGATGGGTATGAAAAGAAGGAAATGGCAAAGAGAAAAAGAATGAAAAGACAATTCTAATGTGAGGGGCAAGGAAAATAAAGAAGGCAGGCTAAAAGAGGGAGAGCTGATGCGGTCTGAAAACGTGCAAAGCCCGGGGTCCTGAGAAACTTCGCGAGAAAGGGGGCGCGGTGCTGCCCAGCCCATGTTTGGGCAGATTAATGGAGTCGTGGCTCCGGCTCTTGAGTCCTGCCCTGGAAGGGACAGTATCTGTTTAGATTTGTGTCTAAATTTAAACCCGATCCGGCCTCCCTCCCTGCTCCCCTCCATTGCCCTCCCCTCCTCCGGCGTCCCTCGGTCCCTCCCTCCCTCCTCCTCCTCCTCCTCCTTCCTCGTTCTCTGGCGCAGGGCCCCCGACCGGGACAGTCCCGCAGCCGAGCGCAGCCAGGCGCGCGCCGCCGCCCACTCGCCCTGTGCCGGCTGCAGTCCGAGAGAGTGGCCCGGGCTGGGAGCGGAGGGGACAGCGGGGATCGCGAGCTCCTGCCCGAGCGAGCGGGCGTATCCGCCGCCGGAGGACTACCTGGAGGACATGGAGGTAAAGATCGACGGAGACGCGGGACTGGGGTGGGGGTGGGGGACGAGGGGAGAGTGAGGTCAAGGCGCTCCTGCCCGGGTCGCTGTCCCTGCTCACAGCAGGGAGCACACAGCTCCAAAGTCCCCAGGCCAACTCCAGAGGTTGGTCCTTACTCCTACCTAGAAGACCCCTGTGGGCTCGTCAGGATCTGAAGACGAAGCGGGGCGTCCCTTTTCAGGGATTCGGGTGTTTCGGCTGTGCACATACATTTTTTTTTTTTTTTAGAAAATAAAGTTAGGTACAGCTAAGGTCATAAACCGATAAAGGTATGAGCCAAGAACCCCAAAACAAAAACTCCAGCAACCCTGACTCAGAGGCACTGAGTGAAAGAGCTGGTAGTTGAGGCTGGGACTCTGCGGGAATGGCTTCCCCTTCCGCTGGCAGCAAGGTCTTTGAGACCAGTTGTCCTCTTGCTTCTGAAGTGCCCCTTGTGCCGGTCACATCTTCTTTCATAACTTTGTGAAAAGGTCCCTTCATCGTCAGTCAAGTAAACCCATTTCTGAGAAACTGGAGGCTCCCCGGATGTCCCACCTTCTGAGGTTGTGTGCACCTTGGGGTGTGGTAGCCATTTCTGAGGGGTGTGCAGGGGTGAGTCCTGGAATTATGCACTTCTGAGAGGAGACCTGGGACTTTGCCTGCCCTTTTCCAACCTCAGTGGAATACAGGCCACTGCTTTCCATCTGAGGAGTAGCTGGGAGCATTACTTCACCTCGCTCCCTTCTCCACACCTACAGACTTCCAAAGATGCCCTCCTTCAAACCCAGAGCAGCTACAGGTGAGCTCAGAGGCACAGCAAGGGCAAGGCCCCAGGTTCAATTCCCCACTGCCACAAAAAAGAAAGTGTGCCCTTTTATTTCATCTTAGTCAGTCTCAGCAGGACCTGGGACTTTCAAAGAGGGGAAAGAGGTGAAAATACCTTAGGCCTTTATGGTGATTCCCACTCCCACTCAAAAGGAAACTGCTCCTCCCTAGACTGTGGTTTCCAACGATCCCAGTGCTCAGGAGTGGGACTCCTCCCTAGACTGTGGTCTGCAGTGATCCCAGTGCACAGGAGTGGGACCCCTCCCTAGACTGTGGTCTGCAGTGATCCCAGTGCACAGGAGTGGGACTCCTCCCTAGACTGTGGTCTGCAGTGATCCCAGTGCACAGGAGTGGGACTCCTCCCTAGACTGTGGTCTGCAGTGATCCCAGTGCACAGGAGTGGGACTCCTTCCAGGCCTGAGCCCACTCATCTTTTCTAAGCTTTGCTGTCTATTGCCACCTCTCAAAGAACAATAGGTCTGTCCTGGGTATTCAGCTCAACCAGCTGTCATTAAGAAGAAACAAGGGTTGCATTCTGGGGGACTTGAGTACCTGGGATGCTGGGGGTGGTGATGGGCTCTCTGTAGCAATATTTACAAGTCAGAGGTAGCAGTTTAGGGTAGACAGACCACAAAGCATTGCAGATGGGTTCCCAAGTCTGCTCCAGACCCTGCAAACTCAAAACCGTGGGATTCTTTGAGCTGTCTACTGCTACAGGAGAGAGATGGCCCGAGGAACACGCAAGTTGCTGGTGGGGGACAGACCCACAAAGAAACTGCTGTACTTGTAACTTCCCTCCTCGGGGGAGAACTCGGGCTGCTTTGGGCGCCAAGCTGGAAGCTTGTGGGATCACTAACAGAACTGTAGTGGACATAAGATGGAGCTACAGCTGGGATTCCAGCAGGTTGCTGCATGAAGGCCCAATCCAACTTCTAACTTTAACCTAGGGAAGCACAGAGGGCTTCCACAGGGACGCTTCTTCCTCCCTCAACTGAGGAAGAAACAGAAGAAGTCCAAGGCCCTGAAAATATCAGCCCAGCAACTTCCTGTGTGGCTGGGTAGGCGGGAGGCATGAAAGAAGGCTCTCCCAGCTATGAGCTGATTTATACAGTAACTGAAAGGGACTGGATGTGCCAAACGCTGGACCAAGAAAGGGAGCGATTGCCTAGTCAGCCAGAATGCTGGGCAGATCTGCTTACAACAGTCCTGAGGTATGGGCTTGCTGGTTGGCAGTGACTGTTTCTGAAGTTTCTTTGGCAAAGCCGGAACAAACAAATGAACCAAAACACTGCAACAGCTTGCACTGGGAAAGGATGTAAAGAGGAAAACAGAGGACAGAGGAAGTGATGACTCTCGGCCAGGAAGTGAGCTTCTGTGATAGGTACATGACCTGCCCATGGGTGGAGCTGGATCCCTGAATCAGCCGCCTGAAGGAGCTACTTACTTTATTTGAGAAGAAACGGAGTCACATCACGTCCCCATATCGAGCATTTAAACCAGATCAACAGGACTTGGCTCTAGCGCTCAAACCCACACTTACTTACCTGCTGCACATGTTAGGGAAATCTTCAAATCACTGTGACTGCTATCAGTCGCGTTAATCACACCTCAGCCCACAGGGACCTCTCTGGAATAAACACAACAAGGTGGCACTTGACCCCTGCCTTTCAAACACTCCCAGTCCAAAAGAGGAAATGGGACTCACATATCCCGTTCCACATCGCTCTGTGACAGTGTGTGCTAAGTGACTGCTTCAGCAAGCATGGCTTGTACAGGCCAGGGCCGAGGCCACGCAGAAGAAGAAACCCTGACACAGAGGCAGCATCGGGTGGAGAAACACAAGGAAGGTGCAGAAGGAACACTCCAGCTTCATTCAGGAAGGCAGGACAGTTGGATGGAGGGGAATATGGGGGAGGGATCACTAAAAGAAAAAAACGTGAAAGTGAGAAGATAAAGCCGTAAGACCAATGAGTATGGGGGCCACTGACCAGGTGGGTGAGCCATCGGGAGCCAAAATGTAAGCCACCCGGAAGGCGTTACCTTTTCTTCATACAAAATCTCCCTCCCTAGCTGTGCTCCTGACTTCTGATTTACCATTTTCAGCCCTTGAAGGCCAGTTCGTGAATGGCCCTGGAGTCTGCTCCACAGACAGTAGGAAACTGAGAGGTGTGTGTGGCAGCAGCCATGACGCCTCAAGGTGGTAGATGCCGCCCGCCCATGAGTAAGCAAGGTACTCAGGCTCAGGCTGAGGAGCCCCTTTGAGACCTGGGATGTAGTCTGACTCCATGAGAAAGACAAAGGGTAGGAAGTGAGAAAGTCAAGACCATGTGCTCGAGGGGAAGCAGGAACTACATCTGCATTTGAGTTCACCAGGGTGCCCAGAAGAGCGGATGGATCACTTGCATAGCATGTGTGAGGCCCTGGGTTTGATCCCTAGCAGAGAGAGGGAGGTGCAGAGGAGAGAGAGAGAGAGAGAGAGAGAGAGAGAGAGAGAGAGAGAGAGAGAGAGAGAGAGAGTCTCAATGTAGGACAGGCTGTCTTACTGGTCTGTGGGTCTTCACAGTGCCCATCACTGAACCCAAATTTCCCAATAAAATTTGCCTGCTAAGTTAATAGAAACTACCTGTAGCTCAAATGTTACCCCTCTGGGAGCCTTCCCAGAGGCCCCCAGCCTCTACAAAGCACTTGACCAGCCCCACTGGGGCTGGCTCTCTGGCTCCCTGTTGGGAGGGTCCTTATTTTATTTATCTAGGGCCTCATGGGCACCAAACAAGACATGCTGATTGAGTGAATATGTTATTGGAGATGAGAGAGATCAGACTTTTAAAACAGAGAGAAGGAGAAAAAAGAAAGGAAGAAAAGAAATAGCAGACTTTAGTGTGTTTGTTGGTTGGTCTGACCTTTCTGAGCAGTAATTTCAGCACTCTGAGATGTGCAGATTTCTTTGGATACAGAAGTGATTGTCTCTAGAAACAGTAATAGTGAAGTTATAGTAGATAGGAAGCCAGGGACAACCCATTCCTGGCCTCGGAGGGCACCTGCGTGAATGTGTACATACACATAAGTAATGTTGTTTTTTTTAAGTGAGTCAACACACGTAAATAAAAAATATTTTTTAAAAAGTGATGTGAGAATGGTAGCACAGGCCTTGGGAGGCAGAGGCAGGTGGATGTCTGTGAGTTCAAGGTCAGCCTGGTCTACACAGCCAGTTCCAGGCCACCCAAGGCTACCTAGTGAGACAGATCCTGTCTCAAAGGCGCGTGCATGCATGTGTGTGTGTGTGTGTGTGTGTGTGTGTGTGTGTGTGTGTGTGATCAAGCTGGCTGTGATGGTCCACCCTTTAATTACAACACATGGGAGCTTAGAGCAGCAGAGTCAACACACACACACACACACACACACACACACACACACACACACACGAAATGGGGCTGTCTTTTCATCCTCACAATATCAGCAATATGAGTGTGTGTGTGTGTGTATATACATGCGTACATACTGATATATGTATGATGTATTCATTTTGCAACCTTCATGTATTTTTACCTTGTTAAACATTTGCTACTTTATTTTTAGACCATTTAAACACATTATTTTTTGTTTGATTATTATGATTATTATTATTATTATCATGATTGTGTGTGTGCATGAATGTGGGGTCTCGAATGCTACACTGTGCATTGGAGATCAGAGGACAGCCTCCAGTAATCAGTTCTCTCCTCCCACCGTGAGAACCCCCGGGCCAACCCAGGTTGTCTGGCTTTTCCCAGCAAGTACATTTACCCATCGAACCATCTTGCCTGACCCTCTACTTTATTTTTATTGTATTTATTTACTGGAGCAGAAATGCCGAATCTAGGGAAGAAAAACAAAAAGATTTTTTTGGAGATGTCCCTGGGAACCTCGCTGGTTTCCCCGACCCTGTCACTGAGCCACGGTGTGCTGCCTGCTGTTGGAGGCTGGTGGTCCTAACGGGGGTGGGGGTGGGGCTATTCACCCCCTGAAGCGGCAGACAGGCTGGGTGGACTTGTGGGCATGCCGGGATACCGACTCCTCTCTCGCTCTTGCTGGGTGGGACCCTCGCAGTCACCCTGGCTCCACTTCGCAGACATCTTCCATTGGCTGGGCTGTGAGAACAGGAGTAGTTTCGGGTAGGCACG